TAATTTCTCAAAGATATGGTTGCAGGCCAATCCATATTTTTTGAAAAGTTAATCTTATGGAGAGCCAAAATACTGTATGGTCAAACAAAAACCATCATTCAACACCAAAACTTGCAATTTTTTTATTTTGAACATGTTTAGGTTTACTTTATTGAAAAAAAAAAAAAAATATAATCGTGAATTCAGTCAAAAGGTATATCACTGGGCAAGGATTATTTTAACTAGTTTGCTGTTTCAGAAAACAGTTCTCAAAAGAGATCCAATTAAAAAATCCTACCACCGAATCTGCATTTTTCACCACAAGTGTTTAGAGTGATAACAGTTCACTCCACTTTAGTCAAGGGTCACTTTTCTTTTCAAGATGTGTCCCAATTCCAAGATGCCAAAATTCTGTTCTCTGGAAACCCACAGGCCATAGTGTGTAAGGTCACTGTGAGCTGTTGCAGGTGTCACTGTTTGGTCTTTCTGCTGGAGATGATTTGCCCTCTGTAGCAAGGGCGGGGGGCGGGGGGGAAAGCTTTCATTCCATGTACAGGGATGCCTCTATAAAGGTTTCTGCTGGATGGAAACCTGTTTGGTGCATGAGCTCAAAACCAGAGGTCCTGGGCCTATCTGCTCTTATCTAGCCTTTGACACTTCGTGATGTTGGAGCACAGCATTTCACTACCTCATCCCTTTCTGTTTGCAAGATCAAGCCTATTTTACTTATTACTTTTCTCTCTGGAATGGCTGGAAGATGAATTTGTTTACAAGTGCCACATGAGTGCAGGCAAATTTGTCAGTACAAAACTGTAATTCTGCATTTATGAAAATTCCAGATGTTTTCACATTTACACTTCCTTAAAGGAAGTTATTTATTTTCTTTTCTCCCTCCCCCTGCCTTTATGTCTTTGCTCTGTAGCTTTACCACAAACTGCTTTTCTGAACAGGCTGGAAAACTATGCAAGAAAAAGTATCTTTCTGTTCATTTATCCCCTAAGGAAAATAAAATAATTATTTTATTATCCTTTTTGTGCATGTTCAGTACCCTTATAAAACGCAAGATTCACTGGGTGCACAAACATTACAAAGTATGAAATGCCACATGAAAGCACAGGCATTCATATCAGCAACGACACCAGGTAACATGCCTGATACATATTACAGCTTTAAAGCCCATCTGCTTTAGAGTCGAACTTCAGGGCAGCCTCAACTGTTTTTGAGGTGTGGGACTAATCCATACACCTGACAGGCCTGACAGCCATTTCATCTGCATTCAGAGGTGTGTTTTGGAAAAGCCAACTGTCAAGCAGATGCGGTCTCTCGTGAACGGTTGAAAAAATGGCACTAAAACCTTAACAAACTTCTAAGTGGACAATTAATTTAGTGGCATTCCTCATCAGAAGCAATTCCTAATGTTACTCTGACACACATAAGATATGCAGTGTAATCAATGCATGCAAACATGCAATAAATTGTTCAAACCATTACTTTTCTAGATTTAGAGAAGTTGCCATTTGGCTAAACATTATTTTAAAGAAATGGCTGCTATTATATCCTATTTCCTTTTTTCTACTTCTACAGTATAGTAAAAAAGACACTTCTGAAGCATCGGGAGAGCCTTTTCTTCTGCTTGCTGTGTCTGTAGCAAGCTCTGCTTCGCTCAGCTAAGCTTGGAAGTGTCTGCAGTACATCCTCAAGAGACCTCAGCTTCCCTGATGACAACATTTGCCTCATCTCAGTCGCAAGCTACAAGGCAGGGAAGCAGAACCCAGGCTTGGAAAAAGAGGCTTCCCTTGACTGCAGTTGCTGGAGCTGGACATTTTAACCCTGGCTGAGAACTAATCAGCTCTCTATCTTCAGAAATGTTATTTGCCCAGTATAAATGACATAAACCAAGATCATCATCTTAGTTTATTTTTCTAGAGTCCTTAGCATGCTACATTAACCTGACAATGCTTAATCTGGTGTTCATTTCACAATACACTTCATGCAATTCACAGCTGTAATTGGTTTTACACTGACATTACACGTTTCGACCTAGCCATGGGAAAAGAATAATTCTTAATATTATTTCTCTGAAAAGTGTCCAAGCTCAAATGGCACAGAAGCAGTTTCATGTGCATATTTCTTTCTTCTGCCTTTTCTTTCACTGCAAGGATGATCACTGGCATAAGATTGTAAGGTCCTTGTTTTAGTCCATTTGCAATTGAACTACGTTTGTTTGATTTCTTATGTCCTGAGGAGTTGTCTCTTATAAAACAGCATTCAAGTATTCTAGTTTAACATCCCCATTTTTCTGAGTTAAGGAACAAAGTAGACCTTGGGCTTCTGTTACCATTACGAGTCTTCCAGAGTCCCATAACTGATAGCCTAAAGTCTTCCTTTGTAACACACACTCAGCACTAAAGCCAGAGTATTGCTATTTGGCATTATCCAGTGAAGTGCAAGAAATTAAATAAGTTCTGTCTTTATTGCTATAGTACAATACCAAGCAAAGTCACTTTTTAATACAATTGCAAGGGTTTCGTAGAGTACGTGTCCTTCCTCTTAGGGCCCAGTAGTTCAGCTGCACTCCAAGTATCACTTAGCTACCACGTCTGGAATGTCAGTCTAAGAAGATGTGTTGAGTATTCTTGAGTCTGAAGAATCAGACCTTTCATCATACTCATCTTCTGTGTAAATTGGTTGCTTAGACACAATAGGACACCCATCATCAGGGATTGAGATCCTAGGATCTTCTGAGGAGCGGGAAGGAAGGACAGGCGAGCTTCGGAAAACACTGGCGGAGTTGCTAGAGAAAGGACTGACATACTGGGACCGCAGCTGGTACTGCTGCTGCAGCGTCATGGTGTTCCACAGGGTGACGTCATTGGGCAGGAACGGGCTGGACTGGTTTCTTGCCAAAGTGTTCCTCAGCATCAGTGGGTAGCGTGGTGGCTGAGGGAAAGGGTGCTGCAAAGGTACGGCCAGAGGATTTGGCACGACGTTACTGGAATCAGCAGAGAACCTCAGCGTGTCAGGAACCCTAAATGCTGAGCCTACGGACCACTTGGAAGAGGAAATAGGGTACGAACTCAGTGTGTGTTCAAAAATGTGCCCATTGGAAGGCAAAACAAGACCATCAGATTCTGCTGAAGTTCTCTCCCCACTGGCCACCGAAGACCGACTGGACAGGAGAACCTCTACAGCACTCACCAGGTCACCGCCACACCCCTTCAGGATCAACTCCAGCACAGTTGGCTTTTGGTTAGGGAAGATCTTTTTCAAGACTTCAAGCGGAGGTCTGTTGGCTTTCAAACTGAAAGGTAAAGAAACTGTCCCAGAAGGACCTTCTATCAGGAGGTGGTTCTGCTCTGGGTGGTACTTGGGGCTGTCTGGACGGCTCTCTGTGCTTCCACCATTTTTCTGAACTGCATAACCGACCTCATCCACTGAAACAATTTCAGGGCTTTCAGGGGTGAAGCAACTTTTGGCCTTACTCATGTCTGGGGAGCTCCTTTGGTCTGTGTCTTTGTCACTGTAGCTCTCGGCATTGTCTGCTCCACTGGCATCACCCAACCGCTCCTCATTCATGTCTGCAAAGAGAAGGCAGAGAAGTTAACGAAAAACTGAGGACAAAAGCTTTGACAGGCATTTGAGGACACAGTCTTCTTACAGTGAACAGAGCAGGACCCTAGGGAAGGAAAAAAGCATTTTTCACAGAGATCCTGCTAAAATTAAGGTCTCTTTGCAACATCTCGTGAGAAGAAAACTGCAAAAGAATAATGTGACCTGATCTAGGCATTTTATGCTGCCTTATAGATACCTGTCTCATTCTCCCATGTACAAGAAGAGAAGTAGTGGTCGTTCTTCTGCTGCATCAAATATGCTATATCAATCCTTTCTCACTGGTTACAAGGCAGCAACACACCATCCAAGTGCAAGCTTTCTGAGAGGACCTTCAGCACTTTCACATCATAATTCCTCGCTAGCACCATCTCACCAACTGTGAGCTGAAGATATCCAGAGGGCACTTGGGAAACCAAAATTCCCTCTGCAAGTCCAATAGCATTAGTGGAACTACTCCATCATGGCTACTGGCTGAAGGTTAAAGAAGTTTTCAAATAAGTCAGCGTATTCCAGTTCGGCCTCTGCAGAAACTGGTTCCTTCCCCAGAATCACAGGCTTTTCCTCCAAACCCTGGAGCACAGCTGATGCCTTGGCTCATTAGAGCACAGAATCTAGAAAAATCTAGTTTGGAGAGGACCTCTGGAAGGCATCTAGTCCAACCTCCTGTTCAAAGCAGGAGTGATCTAAAATATAGAGCAGGTTACTCATGTCCCTGCTCAGCTGAGTTTTAAATAATTCATAGAATCATAGAATCATAGAATCGTTATGGTTGGAAGAGACCTCAAAGATCATCAAGTCCCACCATATACCCAACACCACCATGCCCACTAAACCCACTAAACCATGTCTCGAAGCACCACATCTAAACGTTTTTTGAACACCTCTAGGAATGGTGAGTCACCACTCTTGCAAGGATGGAAACTCCACAACCTCTCTCAGCACTTGTTCCAGGTAACTTGCTTTTTGTGTGCTAAACTAGAGCTCAGTACAGGGCTGAAAACAAGCCTATTGACCACGCTGTCTCCAGACGGACACTCAAAAATGGGGATACCCCAAATCTCTGGTCATTTTGGCAATGCCTCGCCAGACTATGGAAACCTTGGAAATAAGACTGCTTGTCAGAAAGAAGAAGAGAAGAAGGAAGGTTGACAGCTTTCACAGTTTATGCACAAGGGGGACAACGTACTTGCTTGAGATTGTTATTTCCCAAGAACACTGTTCTTCTGGCCTTCCTCATACAGCACAATGATGATCTCCCTGGGCAGCATCAATGTCTGGGGAAAGGGTCATTGTCCAAGCTGCAGCTGACAGAACCTACCTTAACTGCACAGGGCAGTGCTTTTGAACACACATATGTGAAAGACTTATCTGTAGAGACCAGTAAAACTATTTGCTTGGTTTCTCAAGCCTCTGGTGATCAGCCCAACTAGATAAGGAAGCTATAAGAAGAAAGCAAAGGTTCCCCAAATGTGCTGGTGATCACTCCTGCCCAATCGAAAGAACAAGTTAAGCACCTGAGCTTCATGGCTCACCATGGACAGTCCTGCCTGTCTCTCACCCCAGGAACGGGCAGGGCAGTTCCCCATGCAGTGGGCTACGTTTAGTGTTGAACACGCCAGCTTGAGGCAAACTCTAATAGTGCCATTTACCCACCTTGAGAAAGGAGTCAGGGTCTGAGCAAGCCTGCGCGGAACTAGAAGCCACTATGCTTGCCAGAATGGGAGCTATAAATAAATGTGAGATGCTGGCAGAGCACAACCTGATAGTTCAGGATGGCAAAGGGAGATTCTCCTCATGAGGATGGCTGTGCCGGGCAGAAATGATGGGCCATCCTACAGAGCTGTGGGATGCTGCTAGTTTGGGCTGTGGAAGATGAGCATAGGAGTGGAGCTGAGGAATACGGATGCCCTTAGGAAGATCTTGTCCTCCACTTTTAGCAGGATAACCTGTTTTGTATTGGTTATGCTCTCTGTCCAGTGCAAATGGAGAAGTAGTAACTCTTTGTGTAGATATATTACAGAGAAGGCAATGGATGTACGCTCTTTACACACTCAGTGCATCAGTTTTGCCTTAGCAGCCAAAAGGGAATGCAGAAAAATTTTGCCTGTAGCAAACTGGCAACACGTATCCTTTTGAGAAGCTGGTAAGACCTCAGCATAGCTCATCCATTATTTGGGGGAGAAAAAAAAAAGGAAAAAAAAAAAAAAAGGTGAGGCTCACACTACCTTTCCCTCCTATTCCCTTCACATGTTCATAATCATGCATTTATTACAAAAGACAGGATGCTAAGAATAATTCACATCTGAGTGAATGGGCAATTTATACATCGAAGGCTTACCGGCCAGTCTGAGGACAGCTAATTACCTCTGTCCCTGTCTTGCGAGAGTTAGAGAGGCACTTAAGTGAGACGATGGTCCTATTTTCCACATAAATAGATTACACTGTGGTACCCGATATAACCAAATGTGCCACACACAGGTAGAGGGTATTTCAGAAATACCGCGCTTCTCCTGTGTATCATTATGGGCTGATAACAAGTACCACTGGGGAGCATATATATGCTAAAAAAAAATCAGACTAGATCTCCCTAATACACTCCCTGGTCCTTACAAGTTATTATTTTCAAGATTTTTCAGATTTGTTTAGTTTTGACTACCCTTAAAAATATCCTTACGAGGCTTGGCTAAAAATTTTCTTCAAATTCTGAAAAGTCATCCTCCTGAAGTTTGCATTTTTATCATCAGGAGACTGCAGAGATCCAGACTCTTAACCTTGCACAGGGACAGTCAGTCTTCTCGTACAGCACAGACCGTAGCGATGAACCTCACCAGACTGTCAGAATCACAGGGTAAGACCCATAAAACGAGATTTCGTTGATTTAAACCTAATGCTGCCATTAACACAAGGAGGATTACCCTCTGTCGGTTAACATCAG